ACCAACAAATTCTAAATAAACTTATGATTCCAGCAGCAAGAGGGGGAATAGGAGACCTTTAGTCAGTCAGCTACCTCTACTTCCTGCCTCCACAGGCAAAGAAAGCAATAAAGCACAATTTATTAAACCAAGGTAGGAGTTCCCCCTTAAAGAAAACATGCTGTGTCAGCAATAGTAAAAAGAAAGACAGGTAGTGACAAACTCTGTAAACTGAATCCTTTGAATGGAGAAATTCTGGAGGTAAATGTATCCTTGGTCTTCAGCTAGCATATGATGGGCCCAAAGATATCACTGTGTGAAGGCAACTAGCAAAGCGAATGGAATAGCAAAAGGTATTCTCCAAAAAAGCCTTTAAGAAGATAAAGAGGGGGATAACAGTGGTTGTATGCAGTGTCTATACTGTATTAGGGAAAATGTTGGGCTTGCACCCGCTCACCAGACCCCTGGGAGATGGTACAACCAAAATCTGCTGTGGAGGATCAGGCTTCTGGCAGCGTAGTGTGGCTCCGGATTGCCTCCTAGCAACCAATCAAGACAGTGGTTAGAGACGCCTGCAAGGTGCTCAGCAGTGGCCTACCCGATTCCTGGAGCTTACTGTTGTCCCTGGAACATTGAAGGTCACCCTGTAGTGCTGAGTGATGCTTGACTGTGCTGGACGGTCGAAGCAGGTCCCCGCGCCAAGAGAGCCAGTGCCGCTGCTGCAGGGGAATATATCTGCCTCCCCAGGATGCCCTTCAGTTTTCCTCTCCTCTGGTAAATATAGTCCTGACACTGCTGAAAAATTCAGCATTAGTTCCATGGGCAAATCCCAACCAAGGCACCATCTGCCTGGAGTTTTCATGTTCTCCCTGTGCTTTCGTGGTTTTCCTCCAGGTACTCCAGTTTCTTCCCACACTCCAAAGACATGCTGGTAGGTTAATTGGCTTCTGTCTAAATTGGCCCTAGTATGTGTATGTATGAATGTAAATTAGGGACACTAGATTGTACACCCCTTGAGGGTTAGGGACTGATGTGAATGTATAATATATATGTAAAGTGCTGCGTAAATTGATGGCGCTATATAAGTACCTGAAATAAATAAATGGGCGGCGTAAAACACATTGGGGGCGTAGCCTGGTTGGAGCCCAAGATGAGGCTGTCATACATCACATCTTCTTACGGGATTTTGCATAGATGTGTGACTTCCAGGACTTTTTTCCTTTTTCATTAGATGTCTAGAGTTGGGACAAGCTCTCTTCTTGTCTGCACTCCAAGCGGTTGCTACATAAGAGGACCCAGTGGAGCCATGAGCTGCACCTGTCAATTTAGTTTGGATCAGAAGGATGGTTATGTTTGTTCAGGACTGTTCTACCTATTACAGAAGTGTTTAGTTTACCAACTCTGCACCCATATACGGTACCTAGAAGCAAAGCACCAGCAGAGCAAGACATCTGCCCTATTCTCCTAGGTGTCAGTCTTATGTATGCATGACTGATGGACATGCAGAATATCGAGGCTAATACTTACCCCTAATTCGTAAAACCACCACCACCCTTCAAGCTTCCCTACCTAAATAAACACTCTCTTTTGGTGTAAAACCGGCCATAGCAGCCATTTATTTAACATAACTCTAACATAACACTTCTTACAGTACACTCAAATAATAACTGACAGTAATAATCCCAACCGGGTCAAAGGTCTTCGAAGGCACCGTTGCTCACATCCAAAACTCGGCTGTATCTGACACCCAGTAAAAAGGCCCCTAGCCGCTACAACACACCGCCTCAGGGACCATACTACAGTTACGTAGTCCCAGATGCAGCCAATGAACTCCGACATTACCAACGTGACCTTATAATTGGGAAGGAACATCCATACCTACGATGGGCCCAACCCATAATCCACCAAATTGTCACTCCAGCACCGCCTTCAAAGACCCATCGACCCCTGCCGGCTGCCATGACAAAACAGACAAACACCTCAGGACACAAATGCCTTTCCAGGCAAGAAACAAACTCAAGGAAACCACACAAAAACAAACCACAGGACAAGCACAAAGAACAAACCATAACCAGAACAGCAAAACAAAACACAAAAAGCTTCAGGGATTGAGGGCAGGAGAAACCACCCCCGTGCTGACACAAGCTCCAACTGACCTCCTATAAGACCCATCCCACCTCCTAATCCTGGCAAGACCACCCCTCAAGGTTGCGTACTCCAATCAGGTGAGTAACCACCCCTTACCTCCTGCATATATTCCCACCCAAATACACGCTCCGCCTCGTCTGCACACCCCAGTCATGCTGGCCCTCCCTTTTAGCTTTGCTCAGTCCAGGCCCTGACTTGATAGGCAAATTCTTTCTTCTACGCTGTCCAGCCACGGTGTGCTGCTTCCAGCAGTTATATGAGCAATGCAATTGCATCTATGTTTATATCCTATGCTGTTTTACTAAGTTAACCACTTTAAGTCCAGGCCTATTCTGACACTTCTCATATATCTAAAAATCAGAATTTTTTTTTTTTGCTTGAAAATGACTTGGAAACCCCAAACATTATATATTATTTAGGCAGAGGTCAAGGAGAATAAAATGGTGGGTATTGCAAATTGTATATCTTGCGAGATTTGCCCAGTGTTTTTTCAAACACAATTTTTTTTGTAAAAACTATACTTTAATGTATTTTAATGCACACAAATACAATAAAATATAATATCATCTCTATGGTCAGCCAGCAGAACCGCCAGCTGCATCCCCTGGGACCACGGTGGGATAGGAGAGTGCGTAAAGGTGGTGGAAGGTGATGGGGGGGACCCCTTTCTTCTTGTAATTAGCCATTAGGATCGCTTTGACAAAGAGTCCATTGCCGGCTAAAAACACAAACACCGGGATGATGCCTGTAGGTTCAGGCATAATTTTGGTGTAACTACTCAAAGTTCCGGGATGTACTGGTACGTCGCTGGTTAAGTTGTCAATTGTTTATGGTTATGCTGCCACCCTATGGTCACATTATTTATTTTATTAATTTTCTTTAATCTCTTCTTTTGTTATGATGTAATTTCCCTCCTTCCTCATTATGAGTTCCTGTATTGTAAGAAACACATGGAGGCTCAGAAAGAAATATTAGTTTTGACCCTAAAATGCTGCTAATGCCAGCATCCACTGCATCATATTGTTTGCCTCAATAAAGATATTTGAGGATGCCATGTGTTTGGTGAGTTTGGCTATCTGATGTAAGTGGTCTGCATTGATTTACTCTGCTACATTAAAGTACAGGGGTTGGGGGAAAAAAATGGAAACACCACATGATTTTCAGGTGTGAAAGTGCCTACATATTTTGCGTTGAAAGCAGACGTGATGTAACAGATGGGAAGCCTCACTTTCATCCTTTACTGCATGCAGTAATATGGAGTCATGGCAGAGCTTACCGAGCTTCAAAGAGGGCAAATTGTTGGTGCCTCTTAGTTGATATCTCTGTGTCTGAAGTTGCCAATATTTGCCGTGTCACGAGGTACAGTATCAAAGGTTATAGCAATGCCCTCCTATATCCAAGTTCTGGGACCAAGTAAAGCGTTTCGCAGATTTCATCATTGGACTGCAGCTCTCAAAAAATCCTCTTCACCCTTTTTTTGATAACCTGGAACACATTGCCTCCGACCTCCTTAATTCTATGATCACCGGAAGAAATGAGCCATGGCTGACAACCTGCTTTTTGTCGGCAAGGAATGAAGAAATGGATTTCATCGACCCCACCGACTATTTCTGACTTCAAACAAGATCTCAACAGCCTCTTTTCGCAAAGGAGAAATTGGATCTACAACTTACCAGTTCTCGATACACGGACTCTCTCCACCGCAAGTGGCATCAATACATTTCCAGAACATTCTCTATATCAGAGCAACAAGAGCTCTTGACATGATTGATGAGTTATGATCTTTGATCTTACATTTCTATTCACCAATCACGAGTGTTAATTGTATGGCATGACCAGGGGTGGACTGAGAACTCATGGGGCCCCCGGGCAATATGGGATCATGTGGCCCCTGTGTCCTCACCCACACTCAAACCACACCCAAAAAAAGCCTATGAAAGTTACCAGGGACATCTCATGGGGCCCCCTACTGACCCCGGGCCCTTGGGCAGTGCCCGAGTACCTGAATGGTCAGTCCGCCCCTGGACATGACTACTCTATTACAGTATTAGTAATACGTTGTCTTGTGGTCCTCCTACTTGGTCACATGTTCGTTGGCTCCCTTACATTGCTCTACACCCAGGATCTCCAAGGCTTCCCACAATGCACGACGCAGCCTCTCCTTCCTCTCCTTTGGCTGTCTACTAACATCATCCCCAGTAGTCTAAACTACTGGCTTCCTTTAGGTTCTGTCCATTTTTTTCTCCCCTTCTATTTTCTATTTTTACCTTTTCTCTGTTTCTCTTTTTCCCCCTTCTGTCCCCTGTTTATCACTATACCTCTCAATGATCTTTACAGTTCAGACTAGAAACGAGCTATTATCACATATGTTTAAAACTCTCACCTCCATTCCAGGTATAGTTTGACTTATGCTCATCAGAGTAACTCATTTATGTGTTTCTTTTTCATTGTTTGTGTTTTTGTTGATATGAACAACTCCCATACTTTGTACTAATGTATATTGTATAAGTCGCCTGCAGTTTCTTTCTCATGGTTTTTGTATTGCTGAAAACCCAATAAATACTTCTTTAAAAAAAAAAAAAAAGGTTATGATGGCACATACAGTTTCATTGCCCGTTAAGCATAAGCACAGTCAACATGGTCAACTGACCGAAAGAGACAAAAGGACATTGCAGAAGATTGTGATCCAAAATAAGCAAACAACTGCTGAAAAAGTGACTGCAGAGCTCAATCTCAGTCTTCACACCTACAAATCATGTAGTGTTTCCATTTTTTTTCTAACCACTGTAGAACTATAAACGTTTTTGTTTTTTTTTCATTTTGGAAAGAGCAAAGGAGAGTTTTAACCCCTTTCAGATTTTTTTTGCCATTTGTTTTTCATTGCAGAAATTTCCCGTCACTTCCTGTCCCATAGCCAAAACAGGAAGTTAGAAGAAATCCCTGCAAACCCCCAGGTCATTAGAACTAGTGTCCCCATTGGAAAATTTCCCCTTTATTAATTTTATGGAGACAACCAAAAATTTGGGATTTTCTTTACTGTCAATTTCAATGATAACGGTAAACAGGACAAATAGAGAGGGTGAATCTCCTTAACAAGGGCACTGACAGCAATAAAACCTGACAGGTAGCCCTAAAAAAAGTTTTAGTTATACTTTAAAACCAGGCATAGAGGTCTCAGAATCAGGAAGGGATAAGCCACTACAGCTGGAGTCAGAATATCCAGTGTGCCTTGTGTAGCTAAGATATCTGACCTTATTGGTGCAACACAAAGGGGTTGATTTAGTAGAAGTGGAGAGTGCAGTTTTGTTTTTGTCAAAGTTTAATTGAACAAGCTGAAGTTAGAAGCTGATTGGCTTCCATGCATATCTGCACCAGATTTTGCACTCTTTAGTTTTAGTAAATCAACCCCGAAGGTTTTCCAATCAATGGAAGGAGGGTGCAAACACTGTTGGCCTAGGGTGATGAAAGAATAAATGTTCAAGTACTTTCCACTCTCCAAAACCACTGTAGTTGCAACCAAATACAGAGAAGGCACAGAATCATGGGACAAGATGCTGAAGAATTATATGACGAGATACTATGGGCTTGCACAGGAGTCCTGCGAGAAACCTTGTAAAATTGGCTGCATTTTGAAAGTCAAATCCAATGATCATTCTGACTTCAGCAATGCTGAAATGTCTTCGGAATAGAACCTGCCTTGTGAACTTGTTGCCTAAAGGAAACAAAACAGATCAGGATATGAGGTTTAATTTCATGCACTGTTCTCTCCTCTTTTCAGTCCTATGTTTTATTAAAGCAGAGGGACTGGAGGTCACAATTTAGCTTGTACAGTTAGATTTTCAGGACTGTAGAACAGGCTTGTTAAGGTTGGTATATGAATGATGGATTACTCCCGGTCTGTCAACCACAATGACTTCAATGTATTCAGACAGGAAGTTCATGGGCAATTTAGAAGAGTAGAGAATCAATTCATTTCCTCTGCTGGAACCTCTCCGAACATGTCTGTTATCCCCTTTCCTAAACTATTTAGCACATTCAAAGAAAAATGAGTATGATTGTCCAGTCCTAAACAATTACCCCGCTCTAATGAATAGCAAACATTTCTTCTGGAAAACATATTTGAGATCGTGGTAATACACTGAAACCATACAGAGACAGAATGAATCATATAGGAGCATTAGACGGGTCTGCTACCTATTCATTGTACAAACCATTCAAGAGTTCTGTGATTTTCCTACTACACACAAGCTTAGTTGCACCAATAGGTCTCATTCTCGCCAACATTCGCAAGCTGACAAGTCTTCTAGCGTAAAATCCTTGGCGCTTTCCTGCACCCAGAAAGCCACAGGTGCTGTATACAGCCACCTATTCAAGCGAATCAAGCAAATGCGAATCACTTCTGCATTAGTGTTTACCTGTCCACAGGGGCAGACTGACAACTCATGGGGCCCCAGGGCAATAAGGGATCATGGGGCCCCTGTGTCCTTGCCCAAAAAAGCCTATGAAAAAGGTACCAGGGGCATCTCATGGGGCCCCCTACTGACCCCGGGCCCTCGGGCAGTGCCCGAGTTTCCAAATGGTCAGTCCGCCCCTGTCTGTCCATGAATGTACAGCATTTGGGGGAAAAGTGCAGATATTGCTGCAAAAGCATTTAAACAAGAAAGGCTGTGTACAGCCAATCACTTATACTGATGGATGTACATGGCCCCTGCAGATTCCCGGGTGCAGTAAAGCAACAGGGATTTCATGATGGAAGATTCGGCAGCTTGTGAATGTCTGTATGCATAAGACTTTAGTAATTATCTCAGCTATGCAAGGTTGTATCTTTCTGCTGATTATTTTATTTTATTATTTTTTACATTTGTTTTTCTAGAAGAATTTTAAAACTGAAGCTTAGCTATGGATATTTTACATGCTTCCAGTTTGGACCAATGTATGTGTCATACCTGTGGGATCCCAATGGATGCTGGAAATCAGTGTAAGACCACATTCACACTGTTTTATTTAGACAACTTTTCTCCTTACAAGAGAAAAGCCACGTTTTTGCATGCGCATTTGTGCGCATTCACATGTTTGGTGTTAAAGCATTCTATTAGCCAAAATAAGCTTTCATTCTAGCCATTGGGATGTCTCAATGCACAAATGAGCATAAACACACCTAAAACGGCAGAAAAAAGTAAAACACATGTAGAACATGGGCAGCACAGTTTCTAAATGGTTAGCACTTCCGCCTGGCAGTACTAGGGTCGTTGGTTCAAATCCCAACCACGGCACCACCTGCCTGGAGTTTGCATGTTCTCCCTGTGCCTGCGGGGGTTAGATTGTAGCCCCTTGAGGGTTAGGGACTGATGTGAATGTACCATATATATTCCTGACAAGTTGGAGTTGGAGAATTGGTCAGGATCAATGGTATCTTCAGTGCTAAGAAATACAGGCTGATACTTCTCAATCATGCCATATCATCAGGGAGGCGTGTGACTGGCCCCATATTTATTCTGCAGCAGAACAACAACCTCAAACATACAGCCAGTGTCATTAACTATCAGTGTAAAGAAAAACCATTAGTCCTGGAAGTGTTGAGAGCTCTGATCTCAACATCATAGATTCTGAAATTGCATGAAGAGACTGAAGGACTTGAAGCAGCCTACATCCACAGAAGATCTGTGGTTAGTTCTCCAAGAGGTTTGGAACAACCTACCTGCCAAGCTCCTTCAAACACTGTGTGCAAGTGTACCTAGAAGAATTGATGCTATTTTGAAGGCAAAAGGTAGTCACACCAAATATGGATTTGATTTGGATTTTGGATTTGGATTTTGCTGCTGTTCAATTCTATTTTGTTATTTGATAAAAATAAATTAATAGCACTTCTATTTCTGAAAGCAATTTTAATTTACAGCATTTCCATTCATAAAGTGGCCAGTGAGTGTGTGTCTATATACAGTCAGGTCCATAAATATTGGGACATTGACACAATTCTAACATTTTTGACTCTATACACCACCACAATGGATTTGAAATGAAAATAACAAGATGTGCTTTAACACCAGGGAAAGAATTCTTCGGTCATCCACCACAGTTGTTTTCCGTGGTCTTCCCGGTCTTTTGGTGTTGCTGAGCTCATCGGTGCGTTCCTTCTTTTTAAGAATGTTCCAAACAGTTGTTTTGGCCACGCCTAATGTTTTTGCTATCTCTCTGATGGGTTTGTTTTGTTTTTTCAGCCTAATGATGGCTTGCTTCACTGATAGTGACAGCTCTTTGAATCTCATCTTGAGAGTTAACAGCAACAGATTCCAAATGCAAATAGCACACTTGAAATGAACTCTGGACCTTTTATCTGCTCATTGTAATTGGGATAATGAGGGAATAACACACACCTGGCCATGGAACAGCTGAGAAGCCAATTATCCCATTACTTTTGGTCCCTTAACAAGTGGGAGCACATATGCAAACTGTTGTAATTCCTACACCGTTCACCTGATTTGGATGTAAATACCCTCAAATTAAAGCTGACAGTCTGCAGCTAAAGCACATCTTGTTCCTTTCATTTCATATCCATTGTGGTGGTGTATAGAGCCAAAAATGTTAGAATTGTGTCGATGCCCCAATATTTATGGGCCTGACTGTATATATATTGTGGGAACTCACATCAAAATGGTAGAGCTTTTCTTTTAAAAGCACACAGCAACTCGCTTCTTCTTTTTAAAGGCCTTTTAGCCCAATTTTATTTAAACAAAAGTTCAATAAATGCTTCCCACGCCGGGATATCCACCATCAAACAAATGAAACAAATATTCAGCCTTCTGGCTTTCTCAGGTATATCGCTTTACGTCTGTCTCCCAAAAACTCCTTCCACACAGCTAGCCCCTAGTAGCCCCTTGCTGCTTCTGGCTTCCACCTCACCTCCTCCTGACTCCTGAGCACTGACCTCTTGTCTGCCGAGGTGGAGCCCAGACCCATAGTCAGGTTCTTATTTAAAGCCCTGCACACACCTGTGCCATTAGTGTGCTGGGGGTTCGGAAAACATGGACCCAGGATTGGAGATTTCATCCCTCCCAGATCACTTAGAAATCTCCAGGCTCCAGATCCCGAAACAGACTTTACAAATAAATGAGGAAACTGAAAAGCCAGTTTCCTCTGCATCAAATAAACCCTCTGGAGCCCCTCAACCTGTCTGGTTGAGAATCCCGGGTTATAAACTGGATTTCGACCGTGGCAGGATACTGCACTGCCACTATACACATATACACACACACACACATACATATATACATACATACATATATATATATATATACAGTGGGGATCAAAAGTTTGGGCACCCCAGCTAAAAATTTGTATTAATATATTAATGTGCATAAAGAAGCCAAGGAAAGATGGAAAAATCTCCAAAAGACATCAAATTACAGATTAGACATTCTTATAATATGTCAACAAAAGTTAGATTTTATTTCCATCATTTACACTTTCAAAATAACAGAAAACAAAAAAATGGCGTCTGTAAAAGTTTGGGCACCCTGCAGAGTTATTATCTTGTACTGCCCCCCCTTTGGCAAGTATCACAGCTTGTAAACGCTTTTTGTAGCCAGCCAAGAGTCTTTCAATTCTTGTTTGAGGTATCTTTGCCCATTCTTCCTTACAAAAAGTCTTCCAGTTCTTTGAGATTTCTGAACTGTCTGTCACACACTGCTCTTTTAAGGTCTATCCATAGATTTTCAATTATGTTGAGGTCAGGAGATTGTGAAGGCCATGGCAAAACCTTCAGTTTACGCCTCTTGATGTAATCCCCCATGGATTTTGAGGTGTGTTTAGGATCATTATCCATTTGTAGAAGCCATCCTCTCTTTAACTTCAGCTTTTTCACAGATGGCATCAAGTTACCATCCAAAATTTGCTGAAATTTTATTGAATCCATTTTTCCATTACTCGTGAGATGTTCCCTGTGCCACTGGCTGCAACACAACCCCAAAGCATGATTGATCCAACCCCATGCTTAACAGTTGGACAGAGGTTCTTTTCATTAAATTCTGTGCCCCTTCTTCTCCAAACGTACCTTTGCTCATTCCGGCCAAAAAGTTCAATTTTAACCTCATCGGTCCACAGAACTTGTTTCCAAAATGCATCAGGCTTGTCTATATGTTCATTTGCAAAGTTCAAACAATGATTTTTGTGGTGAGGACGTAGAAGAGATTTTCTTCTGATGACTCTTCCATGAAGACCATATTTGTACAAGTATCTCTTTATAGTGGAATAGTGTACCACAACTCCAGTGTCTGCCAGATCTTTCTGGAGGGATCGTGCAGTCAAACGTGGGTTTTGAATTGTTTTTCTCACAATCCTGCGAGCTGTTCTGTCTGATATTTTTCTTGGTCTTCCAGATCTTGCTTTAACTTCCACTCCTGATGACTGCCATTTCTTAATTACATTCCGAACAGAGGATATTGACATCTGAAAACACTTTGCTATCTTCTTATAGCCTTCTCCAGCTTTGTGAGCGTCAACTATTTTCAGTTTCAGTTTTCTAGACAACTGCTTAGAAGAACCCATGGTGCTGATTGTTGGGGCAAGGTCAGATGAGTCTGGGCATTTAAAACCTTTGAGATTGACATCACCTGGTCTTCCCAGACGATCATTGAGAACAATCCATGACACTGGCAGGTCTCAGCTTTGCAAAGGGGCAAGTGCATGCTATAAATTCTGCAGGGTGCCCAAACTTTTGCAGACGCCATTTTTTTGTTTTCTGTTATTTTGAAAGTGTAAATGATGGAAATAAAATCTAACTTTTTGTTGACATATTATAAGAATGTCTAATCTGTAATTTGATGCCTTTTGGATATTTTTCCATCTTTCCTTGGCTTCTTTATGCACATTAATACAAACTTTTAGCTGGGGTGCCCAAACTTTTGATCCCCACTGTATATATATATATAATATACAGGCCACTTTATTAGGTACACCTGTTCAATTGCTTGGTAACACAAATTACTAAACAGCCAATCACATGGCAGCAGCTCAATGCATTTAGGCATCTAGACGTGGTGAAGACAACTTGCTAAAGTTCAAACCGAGCATCAGAATGGGGTGAAAAGGGGATTTAAGTGACTTTGTACGTGGCATAGTTGTTGGTGCCAAATGGGCTGTTCTGAGTATTTCAACAACTGCTGATCTACTGGGATTTTCACGCACAGCCATCTTTAGAGTTTACAGAGAATGTTCCGAAAAAGAGAAAATATCCAATGAGTGGCAGTTGTGGACGAAAATGCATTGTTGATGTCAGAGGTCAGAGGAAAATGGGCATTCGATTTCAGCTGGGACATTCAGATGTTGGGTGAGAATTTGGCATAAACAACATGAATGCATGGATCCATCCTGCCTTGTATCAATGGTTCAGGCTGGTGATGGTGGTGTAATGGTTTGGGGAATATTGTATTGGCACTAGCAAGGTGTAACTAATAGTGTGGCCAGTGAGTGTATACAGTATATATATATATATATATATATATATATCTTACCTACAGTATATGTTTTATTTTGCTTTCAAGGGAAAAACAAGCATGTGCTCAGCATATCTGAAATGTTGATATCTGACTTTGGTGTAATGTTTGTCTTGTCTACAGTGTAGACTTCCTGCACATTACGATGATGGTTGTGGAATGTATGAAGCTGCTGTCACTATCTGAATCAACAAAGACATCATTTTAATGGGAGCATTTATGCCCTGCTTACAGCTATTACGTTACAGCATACAGCGGAAAAGCTTCTCTATTAAGTCATGTGAAGTGTCCGAGAAGACATTATTTTGAAGCAATTTGAGAAGTGCAATTTCAGAATACGACAATCATTGCGGAGGGATTTACATAATAACCTCATGGAAAATACAAAGTTGGACTAGGATTGTCTAGCGATCCAGGTTCAGGGTCAAACACCAAATGGGTATTCTGTACTCAAATGTTTTTTGTACATATTTACATGGCTAGACACATTCATTAGGTTCAGCCAAATAAATAAATAATTTTATATATAGATATATATCTATATATAGATATATATTTATATATATACATATAGGTCCATATATATTTGGACGCAGGCACAATATTAATTTTTTTCAGGTATTGACCAAAACATATTCAAGCTATCGTTATATAATGGATATGGGCTGAAAGTGGACACTCTCAGGTTTCATTTGAGGGTATGTACATCCATATTGGAGGAGGAAATTACAGTTTTTAAGAGTAGCCACAACCCCCTCTTTCAAGGGACCAAAAGTAGTTGGACAATTGAATCAAAAGCTGTTTCATGGCCAGGTGTGGGCTACTCCTTTGTTATTTCTTCATCAATTAAGCAGGTAAAAGGTCTGGAGTTGATTCTAAGTGCGGTATCTGCATTTGGAATCTAGTACTGTGAACCTAAATCATGCGTTCAAAGGAGCTGTCCATGCAAGTGAGACAGGCCATTGTAAGGCTTCAAAAAGCGAAACAAATCCATCAGAAAGATAGCAGCAACATTAGGAGTGGCCAAATCAACTGTATATATATATATATATATATATATATATATATGCCTTTATTCCTGAGAACATTACCCTGCAGTGGATAAAGAGCAAGGCAAAAAAAAGGAAGCTAAAGTGTGCCCTAATTTGCTCCAACAGGAACTTCTCCGTCATCTCTAAATGCAAATACTGTATATACTCACAGTGTACAATGTTATTTCTTATAATTATTGGTAACCTTTTTGTGAATTTAGAAACACATCCAGCCCTCTTTTAACAAATCGAGTCAGTTTCCGTGGAAGTCTGTCTACATTGTTACAGCTCAAACAGTAAAGAATCCTTTCCAATCACTGAGGTTAAACCTCCTTTCCTGATTTCTAAAGGCAATCAGATATTTACTGGATCAACAGTAAACATAGTTATTTCTTATAAATATTAGTATATTAGTAGCTTTTTTGTAAATTGAGCATCACACCCAGCCCTCTTAAATGATCTATGGAGTTATCTCCTGTTGAAGACTATATCACCTTTTTGCAACTCATACAGTAGAGAACCCTTCCTAAATGCTGAGGTTAAACCTCCTTTTCTCCATGATAAAGAGTTTTTCTCATATCTTTTGTGGTAACCTTAAAGTGAATGTTCCATTTTGAAATGTCATCCTTGTCATCGTTACCCCCTTCCCCCCACCACCTCTCTACATGATCATGTACTTTTGTGCCAGTCCAAACTTCACACTTCCAGCTTTCTCACTTAAGCAAAATTAAGGTTCACCTAGATGTCATTGTCACACTACCCCTGCAGGAGCCACTGCTGGTGATGGGCCCTCTGTTCTATCACAACTCTTAAAACCACTCACACACCTGGTTAGAGATGGAGGACCAATCAGAGTTGGGTAAGTCAAATGATAGTAAGTTACAGATATCTAATGATGCACAGAAATTAGGCCAAAGACTACTAAATGATAGGTTAAATAAGTGTATTATATTCAAGCAGGTAAATAGCGTGAAACTTAGCATCAAGCAATAAACACTTAAAAATTGTAGGATTAATAAAGTGAACACTAGCTTATAACAGGAGGAAATAACTAAACTGAAGTAATGTTAGTCCACGTTAACTGAGATAACTATCTATGACCAGAGTTAGACCCAGTTAACACAATGATAATGATCTTGAGTGCATTCAAAAGTGATACCCCAGATATGGGCATCAGCAAGTGTTCCTAATCGGGGTACCCCTATATGGCAGAAGCAAAGCACCTGGCAATGGCTGGATTGTGGTGGGGCCCTTCTGTTGGTGGCACGCAAGAATCTGTCTCTTTAAGAATAGGTGATGTAAAACTGCAGGGCTGTTAAGTGATGAGCAGTCTGAGTGAAAATGAGTGTAGCGAAGGGTTAAAGCTATGTCTCCTCTCACCTCTCCTTGCAGGTGATAGCTCCGTCTCCACACACTTGGCGGTTAGCAGTTTCAGCTATCAGGTACTGGAGGTTTAGTCTCTCAACACTGTATCACCCACATGGCTCAGTCTCTGCAAGTGTTGACAGCCTCGGCAGCAGTTCCTCTCCCTGAAGTATGCAGACAGGATCAGGCAGCAAATCTCCTCTGTGTGTGTCTCTCTCTCTGGTACAGCTGTGGGACGTCTTTCTGCATGTCCTCTCAGCATGGCTCCCCTCTGCAAAAG